ATAATAATAATAATAATAATAATACCTTCCGATTTATTGCTCGCTCAATCCTGCGGAGCTGCTGGCTCTGAGTGATTTATAGTTACACAGGTTTTCACAAGGGACTAACAATGATAGGGGTAAGGGAGGACAACATATAATTCTTTAAATCGCACACGTTTGGAGCTGATGGGGATTTTGTTCAGCTGTAGGCTTCAGTCGTGTTCCGGGTGGCATTCATTTTTGGCTTGGCTTGATGACGTTAGTTCTTCCTGGGCTGTTTTGAGTCGTAGCGCCACACTGCCACTGCCTGGCCGGATTGGCCACAGGCTTCTTGATGCCGAAGAGGTCTTTTTTCCAGGCTTCCGAGCTGTGGGCACCAAGGTGCCCCCCCAGCACCACATCAGGGACCCCTGGTCCAGGTGACCTGGACGTGTCAGTGTGTGAATGCGATACATACCTTGCATTGTATTTCTACTCAGTCTTTTGTGGGAGTGGCGCATATTTATGTGGAAACTAACTGGCCCTTTGCCTTAATTTCAGGTGCTGAGCATACAAGTGAAATGTTTCCATGAAATTATTACTATAGGTTACAGAGTCTATCGTTCTTATGACTTGCCGTGGTTTAGAACGTTAAGCTGGTAAGCAGTGAGTGGAAATTTTTCTTCTGGCTCTTCTTCTATCCTTTTCCCATTACATTCCATCAAGATCTGAAGAAGTGAGCAGTGGCTCGCGAAAGCTCATCCCCTGACACATATTTTGTTAGCCTTTAAGGTGCTACTGGACTCTTTTCTGCTGCTACAGACAATACAGGTCTATTCCATCAAGATGACTTCATAGTATAGTAAGTCCAGACTTAGGATGTAATTATTTGTCTCATAGCTGTTGGATTTTTGGCACTTTAGGTCAAAATGCATTTAAATGCTTAAAACTTTTTTTTCCATAGCAGCAGTTTAAAAATAGAATGTTACAGAAACATCATCTGTCATTTCCAAACCCGCCACAATAATGAATGCTGTTGAACAATTATGATACTGAACAATTTAGAAAATTGCATTCCTCTCCTCTCCTCTCCCTCCATCTTCATGTATCTGCTTGTTCAGACAAGACTCCATAACTTTGCAGAATCTAATAATTGTACAGAATGTCTGGCTTCCCTAAGATAAACTCTGTAATTTTTTTAAGTTTTTAGTTTATTTCCCCAAATATCTCTCCAAAAATCTACCCATATGAAAAGTGGATTTTTTTTTACATATTACCCTGTTCCCCCAAAGTAACTTAGCTGTTCTCTGTATTACAGGTATTTCTTACTATGCGTGAACTACTTCTTTTATGGAGAGACTGTAGCGGATTACTTTGCTACGTTTGTTCAGAGGCGAGAACAACTTCAGTTCCTAATTCGCTACCACCGATTTATATCTTTTACTCTCTATCTAGCAGGTAACTTTATGCATCTTGTCAGTGGCCATTGTATATTTTTTCCACCTATATAGTATTCCTTGCCATCAGGGTCCTGTATATTTATTTATTTAGTTTGTATCCTGCCTTTCCCACTGAGACTCAAGGCAGAGTTTTCATCTGCTCCTTTACTAAAACTAGCCGAGGTGAAACTTTCAGGTTAATACATCACAGTAAGACATGAACAAACTATATGCAAAAATCCAAGACCTTTGAAAACTTAATCCTGGTCACCAGTAGTTGAGAATAGGAGTCAACAAAAGCAGACCATGAGGGGTTTTGAGGTGCACTGCGGGAGATTGTCAATGTCCCTTGCAGAGGGAAGGTTCCCCGGAGCACTCAAGGAAGTGATGGTCCATCCTCTCTTGAAAAAACCATCTTTGGACCCGGCCGAATTGGCCAACTATCGGCCGGTTTCCAATTTGCCCTATTTAGGCAAACTTATTGAGAGGGCGGTGGTGTCACAGCTACAGGGCTACCTGGATGAGGCTTCCGTCCTCGATCCTTTCCAGTCCGGTTTTCGCCCGGGCCACGGGATGGAGACGGTACTGTTCGCAGTGACTGACGATCTCCGTAGGCATCTGGATCGAGGTGGTGTGGCGACACTGGTGTTGTTAGATCCATTGGCTGCGTTCAACATGGTCGACCACCAGTTGCTGGCCTGCCGCCTCACCGATGCAGGGATTCAGGGGCTTGCTCTTCAATGGTTCACCTCTTTTCTCCAAGGTCGGGGACAGAGGGTGGCGATTGGGGACCAGCGGTCCTGAAGGCACCCCCTTGAATGTGGGGTGCCCCAGGGAGCTGTGTTGTCCCTGATGTTGTTTAACGTCTGTATGCGCCCCCTCGCCCAGATTGCCCGGAGGTGTGGGCTTGGGTGTCATCAATATGCTGATGATACCCAGCTCTATCTGATGTTGGGCGCCCAGTCGGACTCTGGTCCCAGTGACCTTTATCGGGCGTTACAAGCCGTGGCTGGTTGGCTCAGACTGAGTCGGTTGAAATTTAGCAACAATGAAGGATCTG